ATAAATAATAATTCAAAAAATAATTATAGCTCCAAATATTTTTATTAATCTGTGATTATGATATTCTTTTCAGATTTTAGATTACACACCATACAGCCGAAAAGTCTCTCCACCATAGGTTGAAATTTTGGTCATGGGATGAAAGGTAAAATGTTCTTTCCTTGAAGTAACACTAGCTGAACGGTTCCAGAATCTCCAGATGTTTCTCAAAATCCTGTATTTGGTTTTCTTTAACCGGATGGCTTTTCGGAAATCCAAGCGTTTCTCAAAATTCTGGTGTCATCGAGTTACTTTTTCTATCTTTCCTTTGAATTCTTCAGTTTTTTTTAAAAAGTACTCCGAATTTCATCTTAAACTAACTCTTATATCTTACTTAATTCTTCTTGACACGACTCTATTTTCTTACTTTATTCTTCTTGACCTCACTGAATTATTCTGCTGTTCACTTATTTAATTCTGCTTGTGCCGCTTTCATCTCCTCTCGTCCGGATTTCAAATCCTCCTATCCTAGTTTAATTGAATCCAACAAAACTAAATTACTCCGCCATAGATTATACTTAATGGAGAGTCACCGGTACTTACTCCGAAACCCCAATCCAGTTACCAAATGTTAGTTATGCATCTGTCGAATGCAACCTTGTGTTTCAGATAATGTATCCCTTGAAAATTCAGTGCCATAAATGCAAACAACCAACCAACATTTCGAATGCAAAAAAATATCCACTTAACTAAGAAACAGGTTGTTTCCGAGAAAATCCAAACTTATTCCGATAATCTCCAGTAAATACACCGTATTTTCTCTTAACAGAACGTAATTAACACTAATAGTAAAATATTTGGTAACACCAATTAGAAGTTTGCACAATCACTGAACGCAGCAATTCAAATCACACGGTCGCATTTGCACTAATCGTCTTGAAATCCCTAACATATCTTTTCTTTCTGTATAATCTCTAAATTGAACTAATACACTGAATTGTTTTATAAAAAAATGTCCTAGAAAATTTTAGATTGGTCTAGCATTTTGTTGCCAAATTTGGCAACTTTGTAACATTTTTGTTAAAAGTAAAGTAATAATGCGAGTTTATCACACGCGCACTTAGATTTATTTAAAAATAAAACCAAGCAGAAAAATATAGTTTTAATGGACTATTTGACTAAGGTGCTTGTCTTATCAAATTTATTCTATAATTGTGGGCTATTATTTTACAATCATTGAAAAAATTGTACTTGCTATCTTTGACAATTGACAAGATTTTGATTCAAAAATTAGTTGTTTGATTCCCTTACGAAGTTAGTAAAAAATATAATAATAAATTATTAATTATTAAATTCATTAATAATTTTACGTTAGACTTGCTTAAATAAATAGCTTTGATTTTATAGCTGTTAGGAATTAAAATTAATAAATAAAAAATATAATAAATTTCTTAAGTGATATGAGATTTCTTATAATGTATATTTTGCAAGAGCTAGATAAACCTATAAATTATGATGCTTATAATTAAAACGAAATTTATTTTTTGTTTGAAGCAATACATGTGACAACGGAATAAACTTGACTAATGGCTATATTCACGAATCAATTTCTTATTAAAATAAAAAAAATCCTGATAATTTAAAATTCAAATAATACAATACACTACAATTCAAAATGTTACAAAAGCTGGAATTGCACAACTAATTTAAAAATGCATTGAGAGCTTAATATAATAATATACATTTATAAATAAAACAAAATAGTTGTGTACGTACTTTTAAAATTGTAAAGAAAATAAATTTCTTTAACAATAGCTGTAAAGATTTATTATTTCGTTAGAATAATACGAAGATACAAAATACAAAACAGTTTTCTAGATCATTTATAAGGAATGAGTTTTTTTTTTTACTGTGGTTAATAAGTATCTTTAAACTGTGATTTTTCTAACATGTCTCTCACTGTCTATTCTATTCATCAATCGAATGATATTTAAATAAACTATAAATTAAGCTGTTTTATAAAAGGTTTCCATGTTAATTTAATAAAGGGGAGCAATACATTTAATATAATCCTTATCTCTAATTTTGAATGTAGAAGTTCTTACTTTGACGTTGAGAATTCTAAAGAATCATTTTGTTTGAAATATGTTTCACACATTTGATAATACATACTCCTGTTTAGAACTATTCTAACAGTAATTTCACTTCAAAAGCATTTCAGTTATGAGTTAATCAAAGGAATTTCGACACTATAATTGGATTTCAATAACATTTTAAAGTATCATATTGCATCATGAATGAACCAAAAATTTAAAAATTATGATTAAGGTCTTGTATTAAAATGTTAGAATCAATGTACGGATTACATAAAAAATGGTTTTACATTTATAAGTGTACTATAAAAAATACTACATGATGTAAATTCTACTGAGAGAGAAAATGACTTCACAAAAAAACATCTTAAGATACCATTTTTCAACACAAGGTAAAATAGAATTCTGGAGAAAGTATCATTAAGACATATTGACTACATCCCCTTCATTGAAAATTAATGCAAATTGTATTGGCCACTCCTCATAATTAAAAGTCACTGTCATCTTACAGTCTAATTAAATAGTAAATCAGTTAATAAATGCAATTGAAGAGACAGGAAAAGAAACATTTTATGAACCATATTCTCAGAATATGTATGGTCACTCTCTCTCTTTCAAATTCCTTTTAGCTAACTTTCATCCAAGCTTATGAATAAAAAGTAAAGTCTTAGCTTGCAAGTTCACTCGCACCAAGTGAGACGTTTCTTGAATACAGTAGATTTGGTTTCTATTATTCTATAACAAAAGGTCACTTCTAATCTATTTTACTTCATGCTATCAAGTACAATAATTCACTCAAATTAACAACAATCGTTTATAAGCTTTCCGTTATCATCTCTCTCCCTTTTAATTATCACTAATCCCATTAATTCGTGGTTTTTCTTTAACCACCACTAATTTATGCATATTTTCACTTTAAAATAAATTCAGTGCAAGATAATTTTTTGTTTGCTTTCTCTTTTCTTTTCATAGTAGCTTACAATTTAATGTGTATTTGCTGAGTGGATGTCTATATGAATTTTTGCATGCAAGCTATTGTTGTGCATTATGTATTCTACAGCTTTGATTTTTAAATAAAGTTAATTTTACTCAGACATTTCTAATAACCTTATTCTACAGAGATCCATCCATTTAGATAAACTAATCTGATTACTGAAGTTTTATCATGTAGAGGACCAATTAACCTCCCCTAGCATTTTACTTTTTATCTTCATCTAATTTTTTTTAAATTTCTTCTAATTTCTTCCGTAATATTTTTCAAAATATCTTCCACAGTCTTTCTCAATTAAGTGATGTAAATATTAAAACAATTTGTTATACTACGAAATTTAATACGTTTCTAAAGAAATTTCGAAATGAAGAACATGAGACGGCCCTCTTTAAGCTGTTTGACACCTTCTCAATTTTAGAACAACTAATTTCTACCTGCTAATTTCAAGTAATCTTCTTGTGCACCTGCGGTGTTATTATCTATACCTGTGCAGCAATCGAAACAAACAGCAGAGGAGGAAAATAAATTCTTACCTTGAATATCCGAATGCTGTCCTAGCTATTCATTTACTCTTGGAACTGTTTGGATTTCCTTCTGTTCGTTGACGGACCGGACCAACTGAGTTCATCTTGGAAAAGTAAAAGGCATATTGTATTAGCAGATTCATAGTCCTGGATGTGCATTTAATAACCCCTTCAAATACTTGAAAACAAAATACTGTTAATAAGGTGAATTCCAGTGTTTAACGGAAGGCAGCTGTCCTGTTATTAATTTCTCTGTTTTCAAATTTCGAAACCGTAAGATTATCGTTGTTTTCGAAACATTCATAACGCAACTTACAGTAAAAATATCTACGGATGACACTCGTACCAAAATTTTATCAACACCAATGATTACAATATCCACCTGTAATTTCTCAAATAAGGGCCCAAAATCTCCTAATTATATTTCATTTTCAGGTTTAAAACTAAGATTTGACAAATCCCCAAGGATTTTGTGTTAGATTTCTGAAAATACTTCAAAGTGCATACTATATTTGAAGAACTTTTTTATGTATGGAATTATCCAAATCTATTATATCGGTATACCACGATGAAATATAAAATCATTCAAACACTTTCAAACAATAATGGAATTATAATTAAAAATCAATTTACCAAACTTTGTTATAACTCAACGCTTTTTTTATTATTATATTTCAATAGTGAAATATGTTTAATAATAATACCAAAGTAATTAATGCATCTAAATATAAAAAGAACATTTAAATTTAGATGTATTGTAAAAATAATGCATCTAAATTTATAAGTTCTTTTTCTCTACATGTCTTTTATACTCTCCCAGAAGCTCACAATAGTTGTATGCAAATCTTTTATCTTAAATACTTTCAATGGAATTTTTTTCACACATTTAACAGTGAATTATTTTAATAATTAGGAAACTAATTATTTACTGTATTGTTTGTGAATTTATACAGTTTTCTAAAATAATTTTTTGAAAGTCTAATTAAAATTTTTTTCATTTTTATATGTACTAAAAGTTTGATTTAGTTCAAAAATAGACATTTCATATGGTAATTATTGAACTGTTAATAACACCGATAAAAAACGAGTTTCTTAAACATGGGTTTTCTTTCAAAGTCTACACTTCATGTAACATTGTTTTTCATGCTTTAAATTTCAAAAATGAAATGGAACGTTGATATTATAAGCAATTGGAATAATAAGTCAAAATTAATGTAAATAATTAGTTTTAAACAATTAAATTTCATTAATTATAATTAAATTATCGTATTGTCATCCAACATTATCATTTATAGAAAATTTCAGCTCAACTGAGTGCTTTAAAATGTGAGAAAAAAGCTTTTAAAGTTTTGACCTAAACATAGCTACAATGTTAGTAGAAGAAAACATAATAAAAGAGTAAAATTAAACTTCCGCCCAAAGTGGGGCTCGAACCCAAAACCCCGAGATTAAGAGTCTCATGCTCTACCGACTAAACTAGCCGGGCTACATACAATCAGCATTTACGTTATTATTATAATTTCATGAGTAAAATTTAATTCTTTAACTAATTAGTTTTAATCAATTTATTATAATTAAATTAGTTTATTGTCATACCAAACAATCTTGTATTATAGAAAATTTCAGCTTAATTCAGCCCTTTAAAATGTGAAAATAAACTCTTAAAGTTTCGATCCAGACATAGTTATAATGTGAAAAGAAGAAAATCCATTAAAAATAAGGAATGATAATATTTAACAGCTACTATTTCAGATGTTCACAAATACAGAATAAAAAGATGAAGAACCTAAGAGAATTTACTCTAATCAAACAAAATAAGGAAATGCATTGAATATGAATGATAAATTAAATATTAATATTTTAGTTGAAATGAATAGTTAATGCTGGAGACAGAGTTACATACACGAACCAATAAATGGGGCATTTGTTACGTTTGACTCATATGCAAGCTGTTATGTGGCTTGATCTTGATTAACAGGTTCGACAGATGTCCCCATATGGGACTTATAGCTGAACTTGTAAAACTTCCTGATATTAATTGGAATATTAAATTATTTACTAATAATACCTAGTATTTAAAAGTCTCTCTCCAGGTCTCATTACTAGCTAAGAATTCTAATTCTAATTGAAATTTAGGTATCTTTCGAAGCCTTTGTTCGAATCACCTGATAGAACTTGTTACATATTACATCCTAACTTTTATGATCGCCACTATTCCTTAGTCAACAATTTTCACTTACTCCCGAAAGTGACTCTTTCGCTAACCTCAATATCTCTCTTTTCAATCTATCCTTATTTAATATATCATTCTATATGAATCACTTCATTTAATTTCGTAATTCTTTTAATTAACATAATTAAATTTCATTTTGGTTGTGAAGAAATTGTTTTTTTTTATGCAATCAAGCTCAGTAAAAGTCCTCAAGGTTAGTGAAGAGAAAATCGTGAATAGCCCAACGTCATGCCAGTATTCGGATCTGGAAATCTGTTTAATCGCAGAAGTGAGGACAGAGACAAAGAAAATCAGTAAAATTGATTACTGATCATTATCCCGTTGAAACATCGGCTCGAAATGCTCTGAAATGAAGAAAACAATTAAGGGCGGAAAAATATTATTGTACTAAGTAATCTAACTGTATAAAAATGATATTCCTAGAGGATCAGCTATCACGTGGTATGGCATCCAGGACCATAATTTATAGTCATTGTATTTTGTGGCTGTTGACTGTAGGTTTAGTATCTTATCGCAGTCCTAGATGTCTCCCGATGCTACCAAAATTCCTTTCGAATTTCGACTCACCATTGCATCGTACATTTATTCTACGATCAGTGAAATTTCGGATCACTTGAATTCAGATGGAATCACTACATACAATCTTGTAGAATATGCATAGGTTTGAGGTAATTGGCCAGAAAGTGTCATGAGCTCAAACATTCATGAATGGTCAATGACATTCAGGTTACTAGTCAGGTTACATTCAGGTTAACGTTAATAATGACGAATAAGTATATTGAAAGGATATCTATCCTCACTCTATTCTAAATGTATGAGTGGTTAAAAAAGTACCAGTGTTAGGAATAAGAAATGAGAAATAGGAATAAGGTAACTCTCTATAGTATAATCCAGGGATCTGTTTTCCTTTTTCTAAGAAGTCCGAGGTGGGGATATTAAATTACGTGATTGACGTGGAAGAAGAGGTACGCATGCAGCAAAGGCCAGAGATCTACAGCTGTTTAGCTGCGAAGTCTTCTGTTTCGTATGCAGTGCACTTCATTTCTGTAAGCAATTCCATACATCTGTATCCTTCTATAGCATTAGAGTTCATTTATTTCACTGGAAAAATGGTAAGTGTAACAGTAGAGAAATTGCTGTGAAATTTAAAATAAAACTTGGAAAATCCGGTACTGAAAACTTTTAATTTGTTGAAAGAAGTGTATGGCTATATATTTTTTTATCACGTGCACGTGTGTTTGAGTGGTTTCAGCGTTTTCAAGATAGCTGAGAAGACAGTCAAGATGATTCTCACCAAGTCGCTCTTCTATGTCAAAAACGGATGGCAATATCCAAACAGTGGGTAACATGTTCCGATTGGACTGTGTGTTAAGTGTTCGTGCGATTGATGAGACTATAAGGATTGAAAAATAATCCATAGGGTTACAGTTTCCACCAAGACAATATGCCGGTTCATTCCACATTGTCTGTCAAGAGATTTCTAGCCAAGTACAGCATCCCATTGTTAAACCATCCGCCTTATTCATCGGATCTTTAGCCATGAATTTCTATCTGTTTCCTTAGGTGAAATCTATATTAAGAGAAGCAAGATTTGAATCCATTAAAGCTGTGAAAGGGAAAGCGGCACACGTCCTGAAAGAGCTGTCAGAAGAAGACCCCAACATGATTTCGACTAACGGAAAATTCGCATAGAGCGTTGTAGTGATACAGGAGGGAAGGAGAGGGGTTTCTTGAAGTTCTAATAAGTAAATATGTATGATGTCAAAATAAGATATTTATTTATTGAACTGTCACACCTTTTATGATGATTCCTGTATCCGAAAAAAATCCTTGCTATAAATATTCTGGTCATTTAGACCATTTTCGCCTTATTTGAAGCCGATTCAATGGGAGCAACTCATTGCTTTGATTGTACTTGGATTCCGGTGTATACATATACAAATAAATCCTAGTTTCTTGGATGGTGACAAGTCGACGCGTCAGTCGCCAAATTTTGATTATGCAGAATCATTACTAACCTGTACATCACTGCTCCAATTCTTTTGTAATCTTTATTACTGATCGTAGCACACTGTGGTAATATCAACTTTTCTTAGCAATGCCATCTATTTTCAAATGCTTGCACTTTTTGAGTCCCACTCGAAGTGTTCTGCCATGGTTCAATCAGTCCTGCGCAACGTCGTTCCATTGCGGAATTGTTCCTATTAAATAGTGAAGCGAACCTTCCATTTGATCACTTTGCTTCCTTTAGCATAGCTTGTAAGTCCCTTATCAAACAGTGACATGCCCCTATACTATTGGAACCTGTATTAATGGCATTGGTATTGTCAATACTATTAGATTAAATCAAATTTGAATGGAAGTTGTACGTTAGATTGCTCCTAATCTGGAAGTTATGCTTTGAGAATATTCCGTTATTCATTCATTAGTCGTCAAAATTAAATCATCCGCACTTAATTTAAAATCATTTCCAGACGCAGTTCTCGAGAGTTAAACAATTTTTTACGGCATTGTTTTTTTTCTTTAAAGTATATTTATCATGACTTATAATTGCAATGTCTGTGAGTAGTACAGTTTTTGTCTATTTAATTCGTTCACTGAATTTTATGCGATTGAAAAATAAATGCTCGGTTCATATAAATTGTTTTCTTTAACCAGAAATCTAAATCAAGAAGTTTAATTATTCATTACAATAAATTTATTGGTTGTTGTTAATCGTCATTTGTAAGAAAGGGAACAAAATTTTTTATTTCATTTTATGTATTGAGTTTCATACAATAACAATAAAAGAGAACTCTGCATGATTTAGTACATATTATTAATGCAGAATTTTTTTTGTTAAAAACAATGTTTTAAATTACTATCAAGCAACAATAATACACATTTAGCTTCTTTTCAAAGCAAAACTTGATATTTTATCGAAATATTAAGGTAAATAAATTTCTCTCTGCATACACTAGCAGAGTTACAACAAAACATTTTATGAAGTGAAGGCTACAGAAAAAAACGATCATTTTGTGATGTCGCAATTTTTGTTGAAACTAACTGAGTCTTTTATAAAAAAGGTTCCACAAGTCTGCTATTTCTATTAAACCTTGCAGATGCATAATTTTTTTGTTTTTCTGACTGCATGTTTTTTTCCCTGACTCACACTAATTAAAATATTCACGCAATAATGGAAAATAATGACGCGTAATAGTTGCACGACCTGTTTTTGGAAGAGTTTCTAGCACCAGTCTGCTCCAGAGACCATCCAAATTGATGTACGCATTAGTTATTTACTGTACCTCATAAGAAAATATAAACATTTTTGCAAGGTAAAGATTAATTAAAGACACGGCATGCTTACTATATTATAGCTGATAAAACTACATACTTGGACTAATTCTTTGCACATGCAATAAACAATAATAAAAACATCCATGTTTTCTATGCACTCGAATAATATATTTTTCTGTTTAACTTCTATAAATGAATAGTATAAGTTTTATATCAAGAAATGAACAAAACTATTTTAAATTATATAACATAGTAGGAATTCTGTAAGTATGTGTTTAATTGAAGAACATCATATAAATTTATAAAATGATACGGCAGCATTATAACCCTTTGCCCAAATAACAAGATGCTGAGTATTTAATTAAATGGTTCTTGCTCTATTCCAGATTCTTAAATGCATATTTGGTTAACTATCTTTTGATAAATAAGGATATACACTAGATTCTTAAACTGATTGTGATATCAGTTAGTTTTTCCTATATATATTAAACTTTTAGTCAGTAATATATACATACATAATTAAAAATTAACTACTGACCTTATCAAACCAAACTTAAATGTAAGCTTTAATCTAAAATCACTCCTAGTTGTTCAGTAATTCTCTTAGATTAGGAACAAAGAGCAGTGTTTGATTACCCGAATGCCTTGTTAATGCTGTTGGGGATTCAAACTACTTTACATTTGTTAGTCCGTAAACTTCATATTTTTCTTTTATGACAACCAGAAAATATTATAAAGAAATGTGTGTATGTGCAGTAAAAATACACAATAATATAAATTTAATTCTAAGATTTGTAAAATCAATCAAAGTATCACACAAGATATAAGATAGAAATATCTCGGCTAATACAACTATCCCCTATCCCCTAGCCAATTAAAGAACAAAATATTTGATTTATCAAATAGAGTGGAAAAGTTTTATAGTGAAATATATTTTTCTGAGACACAATTAAACACTCTAATCCCAAGTTGGT